TCGAAAACTCTGAGAGATAGAAGACATAAGTCAAGATCACCATCGTCACGGAGAAGAAGGGCGGAGCCAGAATCTCCAAGGTGGTTCTCGAGACCATTGTGGGAGCAAAGACGAAATGATTTCCCCCCACAGGAAAATCAAGCGTGGTTTACGGCGGATCTAAAGGAAGAAATCTTTAAGCTCCCCCGGGAGATGGACAAAGTTATCAAGACACTGGAGCAACTCACACGAAAGACAAGTGAAAAGCAGCCAACTCCTCCGAACAAGGAAGACACTGCAAAGAATCCGGAGCTGACTCCGGACGCGCTCAAGTCCATCATTGATGAAGCACTGAAGTCGACAGCTATGAACCAAGGGGGACAGAATCAAGCTGGTCCAAGGGCAACTGGTCAGAAGAATACAGAGGCAGAAGTGCAGAAGGAGGTCAACAACCTGAAGCTACTAAAGTATGATCTGGCGGTTGTGACGGGCGCGTTGCAGAAGATCAATGAACCGACTCGTACCTGCACTCCGATCGTGTCGTCTTCGGTTCATCCGAACGGATATGTGGGGAACAATGGCTGGACTACCAACTTTAGTACATGGTAGCCACAACATTCTGAGCCGAAGCATGCCAAGCAGAAGCGCACAGAACGAAAGCAGATTGGGACGCGTAATCCCTCCACACCCCAAGAGAGGACGAACGAAGATTAATCGCAACGTGTTGGCAGTGAAGTTGAAGGCAAAACGGAGCATTAATTTCGGGGTCGAACCGATGACGGACATGCAGCTCCTTCGTCTTCACTACACAGACCTGAAGGTCTTATGCAAGATGCATGACGTGAGAGCAGATACACAGGCTATCAACGAAAATTGAGCAACTAGTTAGTACAGGGAGTTTCACCTTGGTGTAGACATATGTACGTGGGAAGGACAGAAAAACAGTCCGACAAGAGATGGACTGAACACATAAACTTGGCCAAGAATCCAAATAGAGGAGCACAGCGGAAACTATACAGTTGGCTGCACAAATTTGGTTGGGAGAAATATGTTATGATACCCATTTGGACGGGAGTGAGATCAGAGGTGATGGGGATGGAAGCAACACTGATTAGGAGACTGAATCCATTCTTGAATACAAGGGGAAAAGGCAGAAAGACTCGGAAAAACCGAAGACGAAGAAGGAGAAAGAGGAAGAAGAATGAAAACAATGAGGTGAATCAGAATATACCTGTTTTGTTTAAATCGGTTCGATTGGGTTACACTACGAAGGTAATATCAATACTTCAACCGAAAGCAATGATTTACTGCACAGCTGGAAAACTATGGAATGAAAAATGGAAAGTAATTAAGTGAACATTCGGATCAACAATTATGGAAATTTACAACACAAAGTTCCAGCTAAAAAAATGCAGAAAACGAATCGAAAATGGATGTATCTTCTATGTGATCCAACTGGTGCATACGAGACCGAAAACAAACAAACATAGAAATATTCTGATTAACTGTTTGAGGGCACCATGGAGATGGAGGAAACTGTATAAATTATCGTTAGATGATATACTGATTCTTCTGTCAAAGGTGGGATTGATTACCGGAAATAAACAAAAACGAACAATTAAAGGCATCTTCACACGAATTTCAAAGAAGAAGTTTGCATTCAATATCAAGAGAAAACTGATATTTAAAATTTCATTTGATGCATGCATTAATCTGAAGCAAGTGAGAAACAGAACAACCGAGTCTATCTTGAAAAACGTAAGTAATAATAATTTGACAAACGATTTGACAACTCGGATGCGTGTGATGTTTAAAAAATCAAAGACAGTCGGAGAAATATTACACAATCACAGACAGGTGCTTACACAAGCACCGAACTATAATTTTGCAGTATCCCGACTTCCAAAAATTGAGAACCACATTGTCTGCAGATTAAGTGAAATCACAGAAAATCAGCTCTTGTGGAATGCAAAAAACGTACCCCATATGAACGAAAGATTTGAAAATGAAGAAATTAAAAGGACAATCATCACTACCATTACAAGTATACCACGACCACCAAGGAAGAAAAAAGAAATTAAAATAGATGTCTCTACTTCCATCGAAAAGAAGAATGATATGAAGAGTTTTCTTCACATATCAGAAGTATGGGAAGTAAAAAGAAGATTGACACAATGTATCCTATCACCATTGGACAGAAATCCTGGAGAAACTTTTATGGAATGCCGTAAAGTCTGGTACGAGAAGACCCGAAAATTCTTTCCGGAATCGAATCACTACGAAATTATACAACAAACAGAATCTGAGATCACTCAATTGACCAAAAATACGTATTATCGATGTGGGATGAAGAAAATCGCAGAATGTGATTAACAGGGATCATACAGAAATGCGTATACAATTAAAAAAAAAAGGACGTCACCAGACGCCGACCAATTGTGGCGACATATAAAGAGTCATCTCGGAAAACATCGAAAGTATTATCAAGAGCTATCAACTTCATGTGTGAAGCATTGAAAGTTGATTTTTTACTAAAAGGAACGAACCAACTACTACCTAGACTGAAGAAATGCAATCAAATAGCAAAAGAAACATACGGGGATATGACTACGATAATCTGCTCCACATACGACGTCAAAGATATGTTTTCGAATCTCGATCACACACATATCTTAAACGTCATGCAATGGATGATGAAAACGGAGAAAGAAAAACGGAAAACCCGTTTGTGTTACAAGATGAGAGGAAAGTACATGAACTTTGGAAAAGCAAGCAGAACCTACGTATGAAGAACATTAAAAATTGAGTGCATAATGGATCTGTTGTACTATGACATCAAACACGCATACTTCAAACTTCAAAGTACAAGGAACATTATTACGCCAAGTAATGGGGATACCAATGGGGAAGGGCTCTAACCCACCCATTGCCAACATGGTATGCACGCTCGACGAGTACAGACGGTGTGCGCAGACTGGAATTGATGAGAAACTTATCCACGGTACGAGTTTTGTGGACGATGTAATGATGATCATAATAGCAAGTAAGGAAGATTAAACGAAAAAGTTGGAATGTCTGAAATCTTTTCAAACATGCTACCACCAATCTCTAAAACTTGAAATCACATTAGACAACACGAACACAGAATGAACATATCTAGAAACAAGGGTGACGAAATCAATCAACGAACAGAATCATAAGATATGATGAAAGTAGCTCCAGATTGAAGGCATGTTGGAAATCGACGACGACAAGGACAACACAGAGAGCGACTGCGGGAGATCCTAAGGATAAATGATGAGTACACTGCAAGGATAGAGAAAGTGGCGGAGAAGGACTAGGATGAGGTAGAAGGGTAATCGCGACTGGTCTCGCATGCCATGGACATTACGTGTATGCCGTGAAATTAAAACCTCGCACGTTCTGTCTACATTTGCATGTGTTTATATTTCTCTCTCTCTCTCTCTCTCTCTCTCTCTCTCTCTCTCTTATCAACAAATGGAACAAAACTCTCTCTCTCTCTCTTATCAACAAATGGAACAAAACTCTCTCTCTCTCTCTGGTAGCCCCCCTCCCTCCCTCTCTCTCTATTTCTTTCTCTCTCACACTCATAACAATAAATGCCAGTGGAACAAAACTCTCTCTCTCTCTCTCTCTCTCTCTCGTGTTAGCTCTTAGTCTCATTGATTTGGCTACCTTAGGGCTGCGTTCCCCACGCCCACGCGGTATATGAAAGATATATATATATATATATATATCGTCACATATATATATATCTTTCTCTCTCTCTCTCTCTCTCTCTCTCTCTCTGGTAGGCCCCCCTCCTACCTCTCTCTCCCTTTCTCTCTCTCTCTCACACTCATAACAATAAATGGAACAAAACTCTCTCTCTCTCTCTCTCTCTCTCTCTCTCTCTCTTGTGTTAGCTCTTAGTCTCATTGATTTGGCTACCTTAGGGCTGCGTTCCCCGCGCCCACGCGGTAGACAATTAATAAGTCCGTCAGCTGGCCCTATGCGCAGGCGCTGAGGAGTGTGGAAAGGGCGCGTTTCTGGGGCTGACAGACAAAATTTATCCAAATGTTGGGGCCTCGTTGACAACTTTGGCCAAAACCTGAAAGACGCGGGAAGCCAACCAAATTCGTGTGGCCGCGCGAAGAATCAAGAAATTGGCGGACCGATGAACGGCTAACAAACGCTGATTTTCAGCAGAGCACAGGCGGTAGTTACATCAAATAACGAAAAATTTGGGAGGCTGACGGGGGGGCCAAGCTACCAGTAGTGAGGTCGCCCTTAGAGGCCCACAGGAAGGGGAGAAGACCACAGAGCGCAAGGGCCTTGGGCCTCGGTGCACTACTCTCCAAATGTGCAAATTGAGACCGAATCCACTGCTAGAACATGGAAAGAGACATTGCCATCTTTTTTGTCTTTTGTGCATCTGGAGAGCAGTGCAGCGAGGTTCCTTGTCTCGCCCCCTTCGCCACTGTCCAACCAAATGTGAAAAAGACAAAAAAGATTCCAAGTGTAGATTCTGGCCTTCTAGGTGAAGATACGCCTCGCTCCGGCACTCGCCACATGCACAAAAGGCAAAAAATATGGCCGTGCATCTTTCCATGTTCTGGCGGAAGATTCGTTCTCATTTTGCACGTTTGATGAGTAGTGGAACGAGGCCCATATTTGGGCTGTAGAGCAGGGTTGCGGTAAATAAAGGGGAGGAATGTTGTGTGTGTGTGTGTGTGTGAGAGAGAGAGAGAGAGAGAGAGAGAGAGNCGCATTTGGGCTGTAGAGCAGGGTTGCGGTAAATAAAGGGGAGGAATGTTGTGTGTGTGTGTGTGTGTGAGAGAGAGAGAGAGAGAGAGAGAGAGGGGAACGCGGGAGCCGTGTGTGATTGCTGGCTGAGACGACGAGAGGGCGCTTGGCTGCAGACCTTACCCGCCGACCTTACCCGCCGAGGGACTCTTATGTTTCTGGCCGTCAATCAAGCTTCGCTCTAGAATCCTAAGCTTGCAATCTACGGGTCTAATCTACGGTCCAGAAGAAATAATCCTGCAAGTGGAATCTACGGTCCAGAACCTCTCTTGTGAAGACGGACATAAAACGTGTCGGGCATTGTGCTTCTACCTCCTCTTCCTCTCGTCTAGCTTTTCCATTCTCTTCATTTCTCTCTGTTATACGACTCGTCGCTCCTTCCCGTCAAGCTTCAAGCTTGCAGCTATGGAGTCGTCTTCCCCGTCTGTGCCGTTCCCGCTCTTGAAGGATCCAGCTCGTTACACGCCTTGCACAATAAAGTACTTCGATCCCGCCGCTGGGGACGATTATACGAAGCCGACAAAGGTCTCTACGATGTGGATTGAAGTCTTCCGGAAGAGTATTCCCTCTTTCAGGTACTCTTTTTACTTAGCCGATAACGAGGATTCAATCAGTCTGTCAACTAATCAACCGATTAACCAATCAATCAAAGTTTGACAATCAATCAGTCGATCAGTCAATCCGTGACAATCAATCAGTCAATCAATCAATCAATCAATCAACCGACCATTGACAATCAATCAATCAATCAACCGACCGTTGACAATCAATCAATCAATTAATCATTGACGATCGATCTGAGTCAATCAATCAATCAATCAATCAATCAATCAATCAGTCGGTCTAACTATCAGTCTACGAATGAAAGTGTCAATCAATCAATTCATGTCTAGCCAGACGTAGGGCTGAGGGGATTGGTATCACGAAAGAGGGAATGGTTTTGAATCTGCAGAGCGCGGATATACTGCGCTATGATTGGTAGATGAATGCATGAGAGGACGATACGTACACGTGGCAGTTGTATGTAATGACCCCTCTTTGAATCGAGAGGACAATGTGGCGCTCCTGGTGTGTGTTTGTTTGTGTGTGTGTGTGTGTGTGTGTGTGTGTGTG